GGCGTTCTATCAGGCTCACGACATATTACTTAAAAACTGAATTTCAAAAACTTGATGCGCAAAGTTGGGCTCATCTATCTTTTTTCTCCTTCTGAGCGTAGGAACGAAATGGAGAAATTTGCCTTACGTTTGATATGCCTAAGTTAAAACAATTAATTGATCATGTTAGCAAAGTCATTTTAATGCCGGCTAAGATTAGAGTAGCTACACCCTGGGGAGTTTCATTGGACTGTTGCGAAAAAAAAGAACTTGTGGCTTCACCTCATGTAATAATCAAATCAATCGCCCGTGTGGGATTTCCTCTACAACGTCTTCCACAATTGCTTCACCACACAACTATAATCAATCGCGGAATGATTTAGAATGCTGTGTCTAGCTTTTCTATCAAAATTATTTCGATCTTCTTACATTGATTCTGGGATTTCAAACTTAAGAGCTAAAAAGAATGGTTTCAATCATGGCTCTTTATGCTCTGCTTTTGGATTGGAAATTAGATGCATTACTGTGGTCGTAATACTCGGTTGAATCTCATCTCTATGAGTTTTAATAGGAGTCGACATCAGTGCTGAAAATGACGTAGTTGAGCGACCATCATCTCGTAGTAGTCATAAGAAATGTGATGTTATGATCCTGAAGCCGAGAGAAGTTGGTGAGTTAAGAAATCTAGCTGGTTTTTATCCTTTTTCTATAAGATATGTCCTTGTAGTGCATCCCAGTCCACCGTCCACTCCGAATGTGCGGAGATCTAAGAGAAATCGTATGAAACCTGTGCGACAGTGGCTTGGAGAATTACCAGTTTATGAGGTTTCACCGGGAGGTAATGGTTTTGGAATTTTCATAGTTGAGAAAGAATAGGAACGTACATGGGAAATGGTTCAAAATCACTATCAAAATGTTTTAGGCAGCAAAACATTGGTAGGCGTCAACGAAGTGGAAGTGAGAGACAAACGTTGGCTAAAAGTAAGAAGCGCTAACTTAAAAATTGCTCAAGAAAGGGAGATGCAATTACGGGGTAAACTTTTGACATTCCGTTCGCTTGCATAATTGAATATTGTTTTCTAGAACAGCAACGTCGTCTACGCGAGAAACGTAGGGAGGAAGCTCGCAGGCGTAAGCTTGTCAAAATTCGTGAATTGAAACTTCGCCATAAGAAAGGTGAGGATTTGCACACTACCATAGACTCAATTGTGACCAGCAGTGATGAAGACGATGAGGAAGATGATATAGAGGCTATTGTACACGTACGATGATTGATAACATGTAATGTTTTATCTGTACAATGTATTTATCCTACCTCCTCTAGATGTATGATCTTCATGATTTTTACCTTTCGTCTGCATGTCTTTGTCGAATATGAAAGATGATTTGAATGAACATTTTATTTCTAAATAATCGTCCTACATGTTGGAGTACTATCAGTGCCACTTTTCTTTTCGCACTGCGTCCATGAATTCTTGAACTTCTTGTGGCTGGAGCTCATTTTGCCATTTTCCATCCTTTTTGAAGCTGGATCCAACTATGAAAGCATGAGCGCCTTTGAACTTTTGAACGTTGCAACTTGCAACGCCTGACCCAATGAAAACTGGTAGGGAGCCATGAGTCATCAACACTTCTAAAAAGACTGTTTCTAGCATAAAATAAATAACAAAACAACTTTGAAAACACAAAAGTACTCCTCTTTTCTCTCGATTTCTGTTCGCTTGTGTTGTAAGCAAGAAAAATAGATTGGTAGTATCCATTTTCACCTGTGTGTAATAGAATAGATGTGGATGTAAAAGCAGAAGGGAGCATCGTGCGTGCTGGTCGTAAATACTGCGAAATAGGTTTTAGATAACTCATTTGAAAACTGGATGAATCTTTTATCAAAGGTGAGCTAGTCAACGAAAAACTTGCAGCCTACAGCCTTGTGGTGCCGGTGTCAGCTAATTGACACTGCATGATACTAGCGTGCCTAAAGGCAATCAGGTTCAGGAAAATTTTTGTCGCAATATTAGCTCAGTTGAAGGGTTCACTAACAGGTTTACTAAAAGCTTGAAAGTCTTGATTTTGACGTGACACTGTCTCCAAGTTGAAGCATCACATCGGATAGCTCGATCTTGTGGTGTTAGTCCGTCAGTAACTTAGAGTTTAAATGCATTTGCAATACAGTTGTGACCAGTATTTCGAAAACCTTCTCATACGGACCTCCAAACTGATTACAGCCTTTCGTATTCCTTCCATCAATTGACAAAAAGAGTTTATTTTTTAAAGTAATATTTCTCAAAAGAATGATTAATTTAATTGGTAGGAAGTAGTGGTGGTGATGGAAAAGGGAATTGTTTTGTTCGGAAATAAAGTTGGATTTGTTGGGTTTAGCAGGCTCACGCACACACAAATGAAGAGACCACGAAGAAAAAATGGTAATGATTGAAACTCAGGTGATGGTCTCAATAAATTTGTTCAATTTAATTGAAAACCCACTTCTAAGATCTGAGGGGTCGGCGCTGTCACCTGTACAACGCCCCGTGACGATAACTCCGTCTGCCAGGAAAAACTCCGCCGCTTCGGCAATTTCACCTATATTGAGATCGGCTGTCACTGCATGTGAGCTAAAATGGAGAATTCTTCTGAATTTCTGGCTCCACTTTGTTGAATTCATAACCGATAG